ATATTTGGCTATGGCGTCGACGACAACATACACTACGAGGGCATACCGCTGCCGCGCTGCAAGTCGGCCCAACAGGGCGACGATGTGCCCTGCGAGGGTGGCGTCGTGGCGCTCAATGGACGCGATGGTTCCCTATTGTGGCAAACGTGGAGTGTGGCGAATGTGTTCTCGCTGCACTGCAATGCGGACATAGATCGAGATGGTGGCATCGATTGCCTGGCGGCGGGACGACTGGGCGTAAGTTTGGCCAGCTAATTCTCGCCAGCCTTTAAATTATATTTCGTATTTGCAGATGATATTTGCCATTAATGGACGCACTGGTCAGGTCATCTGGAACTTTCACGAACTGGAGGTGGAGACCAACTCGCCCATTGTCATGGATCTGTACACGATCAATGTGCTGCGCGATCTGGATGGCGATGAGGTGCCCGAACTGATAGCTGCACACTTAGAGGAGCGCGAGGAGTCCAAGGCGGGCCACATAAAGCTCATCTCGGGCAAAACGGGCAAGGTGCTGCGCAGCATACCCACGCCGCATCGCGAGGAGATGTTTGTGCCCATACAGCTGCTGACGCAGGCCGACGGCACCGAGCTGCTGCTCATGCTGACCGGCGGACAGAATACGCCGGGCGGCATTTACAGTCTGCGGCTGCTCACGTTGATGGCGCACACCAGCGAAAAGCATTTCATCCCGCTGCATCAGCAGACCGGCTCGGGTCTGATGGTGCCTGCCGTGCTCAGCGATCTGAATGGCGATGGCATCTCGGATATCGTGGTGGCCGCCTTCAATAGCAGCGTCTATGCCTACGATGGACACACCTATGGGATGCTCTGGAACTATACGTTCCCGGCCAGCGAATGCGTGAGCGCCATTGTGCCCGGGCACTTTGATCGCGACAATGTCACCGATTTTATGGTCAAGTATAATACGGGTCCAGGTTTTCCCGTCTACTACTACTCGCAGACAACGATACTGGACGGACGCACCGGGCAGCCGCTGCTCAATGCCATGATGACGGATGCTGGCGGCGCGAACAGTTTGCTCGGTGGCGTTTCCATCTCGCAAAGCTTTGGCGGCGATTTCTTTCTGCACTGGCAGCTGCAGTGCCGCAATAGGCCGAATGCCAGGGATGCCTACGAGTTTGTGCCGGACAGCGACATCATTTTACAGGCACGGGCGGACACCTGTCGGCTGCGCTATAACGAATCCATGGTGCTGAAGCTGTATGCCATTGCCCGGCACATTGAGCCGCCGGGCGCAGTGCTATTCAGCACAGATGATCTGGAGGTGCATCTGAATCGCACACAGAGACCGGCGCCGGCGGGCAAACAGTCACCGCTCAAGCATCCGAAGCTGCTCAAGAAGCTGCTGGCCAATCGGGAGCAACTGCTGAGGCAGGCCGCCACAGATGCAGCCGATCAGCAGCAGGAGCAGCGGCCTGGTCCGGTCAAGTACACAAAGCATCACAAGCATCCGCTGCCGGAGCTGTTGCCGGGGGCGGTGCCGGAGAACGAGCTGCCCAGCTTTGCTGGTGGTTACATCAAGGAGCCCTACAAAGAATTTGTAAGTCTCAAGCATTAATCCAAAAAAGAAACCTTATCACACAGCCGCATTCCACAACACACAGAAGGACTATGAGCCAGGGGCCGTGGAGAATCCCAATGCCATGCGCCTGCCAGAGGAGTATGAGCTGGTGTACAATGATGAGCTGCCGCAGCTGCCGGAGCAGAACGAGCGGCCCATACATCTACGCAGCAAATATCCCAGCGGTAGCAATCGGGATGTGCGCAGCGGCATACTTGAGTCGAGCAGCACCAGCAGCAGCACCACACCCAGCAGCACTTCCACCAGTCAGCCGCTGTCCGCACAGTCGCCGCTTAGCCTGTGGGATCTGGAGCTGGACAATGAAGCGCAGGAGCAGGCAGCGGATGCAGCAGCTGCGGCAGCGGTAACCAGTTCCACCAGACAGTCGCAGTATCGCAGACGCAAGCGACAGCGACGCAATGAGCCAGCCACTGCCAGCAGCAGCAGCAGCAACAGTGCTTCCACCACCAGCAGCAATGCTGGCGAGGATTCGACAGCGACGCCAGTGGATGCACAAACAGAAGACTGGTATTTGGCATCCATTTCGTCGACGGGCGTGCTGCTCAAGGCGCTGGGCAACGTCAGTTCCTCGCTGGACTTTGTCTTTGTGCTCAACATACGCGAATCAGAGGCGTATCCACCGTTGTTCTCGCCGCAGGATCTCAGCTGCGTCGAGGAGAAGATCAGCGCCTATAAAAGTGGGTAGAGCTCGTTTACAGTGGATATATATATATTTTTTAATACTTATTTCTTCTGCAGGCTATACCGCCGACAATTTGCGCGTGCTGCGCAAGCAATTCCTCAAGCAGTGCCTGAGCGAGAGGCTCGTTGACGCGGATCCCGCGTTGCCCAACTATGAGGCACAGCTGATAATTACGCGAATTGGCATTACATGCACTTGCCGCACGCTGCAGCCGGGCGAGGTGTGCTCCGAGCTGGATCCAATTGATGCACAACGCTGGACTGAGTTCATGGGCAATGATGGCAATGGCTATTATGCCAATTAAAACTAAGTCTATCCAACTAAAAACTCTTTCTCTACTACAACTATTGTAATTAATCGAATGTCATTTGTGTGTGTGGCTGTTTCTTGTAATTGTAACAGTATTTACATGTGTATTTGTGTATATTTTATGATTTTTTAAACTACAATTAAATATTTAAACTTATTGAAGGTGTTTGTATGCGCGCCGTAAGTACGCACAGATAAAAACAGGTGACAACTCTACAGCATACGATTGGCAAATATCGCAACGAAGTATCGATATGTGTCGATATATTCCAGTCTCTCTGAAGACCCATTTATTATATAAAATAAGATCAATATAAATTAATATTAAATGTGTTTAATAATTGTAATTAAATTTAATTTTTTCAGCTAAGCACGCTGTGACTTGGTTCAAACAAATATCGATAGTTCGACATATCGATGCCCTTATGCATGCCTTGTTCAGCACTAAAAAGTCCAACTTTAAAACAACAATAAAAGCGCAGTAGCTGCCGAAATATTATTGTTAACTGAATGCTGCGCCCAACACACAGACAAGCAACATCATGGGCATTCTAGAGAAGATTGCGGAGATCGAACGCGAAATTGCGCGCACACAAAAGAACAAAGGTAGGGACTATGCGGTGGCTGCAAGCACCGGCGTAGACAACGCGGCGTCGGAATTCGCAGTGCTGGCAATGGCGTTGCCAGGTATCGGAATTTAGGGTTAGAATTCATTTGCCAATCCATTTTGCAGCCACTGAATACCATTTGGGCCTGCTTAAAGCCAAATTAGCTAAGTATCGCTCGCAACTGCTGGAGCCGTCGAAGAAGGGCGAGAAGGGTGACGGATTTGATGTGCTCAAGAGCGGAGATGCGCGTGTGGCGCTCATTGGATTCCCCAGTGTGGGCAAATCCACCATGTTGTCCACACTGACCAAAACCGAATCGGAAGCAGGTGAGTAGGGCGTGGCACCAACAATACAAATAATTGACGCCAACTCTTACATTTCATAGCCAACTACGAGTTCACCACGCTCACATGCATACCCGGTGTGATTGAATACCAGGGTGCAAATATACAGCTGCTCGATTTGCCGGGTATCATTGAGGGCGCCGCCCAGGGCAAAGGTCGTGGTCGTCAGGTCATTGCCGTGGCACGCACCGCTGACCTGGTGCTGATGATGCTGGATGCCACCAAGCCGAATGTCCATCGCGACCTGCTCGAACGTGAGCTGGAATCGGTGGGCATACGCCTGAACAAGCGCAAGCCTAATATTTACTTTAAGCAGAAAAAGGGCGGCGGCCTGAGCTTTAATTCCACCTGCGCGCTGACGCACTGCAGCGAGAAAATGGTGCAAATGATTCTTCACTCGTTTAAGATCTTCAATGCAGAGGTGCTGTTCCGCGAGGATTGCACAGAGGATGAATTCATTGATGTGGTCACGGCCAATCGTGTCTATCTACCTTGCCTTTATGTGTATAATAAGATTGATCAGATTTCTATAGAAGAGGTCGATCGGCTGGCGCGACAGCCGCACTCCATTGTGGTTAGCTGTAATATGAAACTTAATTTGGACTACATGCTGGAGGCGCTCTGGGAGTCCTTGCAGCTCATCAGGGTGTACACCAAAAAGCCCGGTGCGCCGCCAGATTTTGATGATGGTCTGATTCTGCGAAAGGCAAGTAGACGGGAAAATCTAAATGGAATAGTTTTTATTTAATCTTATTTGTGTTCCCACAGGGCGTCAGTGTGGAGCATGTGTGCCATGCCATTCATCGAACGCTGGCCGCACAATTCAAGTACGCGCTGGTCTGGGGCACGTCGACAAAATACTCGCCACAGCGCGTGGGCATAGCCCATGTCATGGCCGATGAGGATGTCATTCAGGTGGTCAAGAAGTAAGTTGCAACGCAGCTGCGTCTGTTAAGCCAGTTCCTGGCATCAATCGAGTTGAAATATATAGTATATTCTATGCTACCTATAACAATTTAAATGATTCTTGATGATCATCTTGGATGGCATCTCGTTTAATATACAACAATTAGTGCTGACCGAGAGATTGGTGTTCAGAGCACAAACTAATCCATAATGGAAAGCTGTATATTTCTTAAAACTTTCGTGAAAAATAAGTCTGGTCTGTTCCTCTGCTAAGCGTGAAAGCTTTTGTAAATTCGTTTATTTTTTCACTAGTAGAGATTAGATGTAATGGTTTATAAAAAGAAGAGCAAGTCAATACGTGTTCCACTTTTTTAAAGTCCTCTTGCATCGTCGGATAAGGGGCTATCAATTTTCAAAGTATTTGAGAGCATTTCCGATTTTAAAAAAATCAACCCATTTACCTAATTGAAAGTGAGGCTTGAAATTGTTATGAGCTAAATTGTAACTGCTAGTTCTTCACATATAAATTGACTCTCCTTATGACATAATCTTGTAAAATAACTTTATTGACCGCTCGACTTGAACGTAACAACTAAAACCTAAACGTGGTGTCCAAACATGCCGTTCGACTACCAATCCAGCCATCATTTAGAGGCAGCCGCATTGCTGGCCGTGGCCGCCGAAGCGGCTGCATAGCTTTTGTTCAGCGTGCTCATCGCCGAGATGTTGGAGAAGGGCGTCGGGCCGCTGCTGATGCGCTGCGGCTCCAATAGCTGCACGGCCGGGTTGTCTATTTCGGCGAATACATTGGTGGCGTCGCGCATTCGATACCGGCGCAAATTCAAATAGTGCTCCTTCTGCTCCTCGACACGTTGATGCAGCTCGTGTAGGCGTCCGGCTAGCGAGATGAAGGACTCGTTTAACTGGCGAAAGCCGCGCTTGAGATCATCCGGCGAAATGCTTTGCGGATTGGCCAGGGCATGCATGTGGCTCTCCGTGAGCAGGATTTGCTGACGGAAAGCAATCAGATCCTCCTCGTACTTGGCCACCAGGCACTGAAAGTACTGGAAGGGCGCGCTATTCTCGAACTGTAGCCCGGCGGGCGTATCCTGTGTGCGCTGCGCCATCTCCAGGGATTGTATTGCCTTGGCCGTTTCACTGCGCAGCTGCTTGATGTGCCGATTGTTCGCATCCACCGAATTGGCCACGTTCTGCAGCACCCAGCGCAGATTGGTTATCTCGTGACTCACATTGCTAAGCTTGGAGGTCGAGGTGCGTCCAATGTCCGAGGAAATGGTCTTTTGCTGCTTGATGTAGCTCTTCAGCGCATCCACGGTCTTGGCTATCTCATCCGGCACCTGGGTCTCCTTGATCTGAAAATGACAGGTGAAGTGTGCTGCAGCTGCTTTCTGATTTGGCTTCTTTTTTATCCGATACTCACCTTAATCCCATCCTGCTTGTTATCACCCAGCTTGGGCTGCGTGGCGCTCACATCGATGCCGCCCAGGCCCACAAATATAGGCGGCGCTGCGGTTGGTTGTGTGCCCGTCGTCAGTGGCTTACCAAAGATGCCGCCGGTACCCCCAGGCGCCATGGTGTTGTTCCCGCCCAGGCGTAAATTCGCATTGAAAGGTTGCGCCGTGGCCGTCGTTGTGGTCGTATTAAAGTTCAGGCTGGCTGCGGTCGTGGCCTGCGGCTTGTTAAAGGAGAACGCGCCAACGCCTGCGCCCAGCGTAGCAGGCATGGCTGTCGACCCGAAGGCGGGTGGTGCTGTTGTCGGCGCGCTTGACGTGGGCGTGGAGAAGTTGAAGGAGGGCGCCACGGTGGCGGTTGCTGCGCCGAACGCGGGTGCAGCTGCGGGCACCCCAAATGCAGGTGCTGCTGTCGGAGGAGCACCAAAAGCAGATGTCGCTGCAGGCCCACCAAAGGCGGACGCACCGGGGGGAGCGCCAACTGTGGGTGTAGCAGTTGCTGTTCCAAAAGCGGGCGCTGCGTTGAATGCTCCAAAAGCAGGCGCAGCGCTGGCCGCACCAAAAGCTGGCGCTGGGTTGGTCGCACCAAAAGCTGGCGCTGCACTGGCTGCGCCAAAGGGGGACGCAGATGTGGTACTGCCAAAGGAGGGCAGGGATAGACCCGTGCCCGCTGGAGCCACTGCAGCTTGCGACCCGAAACTGAGCGTTGGCGCGGCACTAGCTGCGGGCGCAAAACTAAAATTCGGCGCAGCAGCGCCCACCACAGCACCCGCTGCTCCGGCCAGACTCGATGTGGCCGTGGCTGCACCAAACGCAGGCGGCGGGGCGCTTGTGGCCGGTCGCGCGCCAAAACTGAAAGCGCCTGTTGCTGGAGCAGCGGCGCCAACGCCCAGGCCGGGGTTCGTTGTGGGTGTGCCGAACGAAAAGGACATCGTTGAAAGCGTTTTTGTTTGCTTCTTAACCGAAAATTTGTTCTTTGCCACGGATGCGTAGCTGAATCGTTAACGTTAAAATCGGCACAGAATTTCACAATTAACAAGAAGCGCACACTACAAAATTTATCGATAAATCTTTTACATTTGGTTCCCAATTTTGAACTAGTTCAGTATAAAATTTGAATCATTTATATTCGTAACGAGTTTCCAGTGGAATTGATAATTAACCACAATACAGTTAAATTTAAGTTTAAAACAAGATTTTCTAAAACGCGCGTGTACTGTAGTTGCTCGCAAGAACTAAAATTTTGTTTTACTGAACCAAAACAGAAATGAACTGTAAAACAGTCTGGCAACATTTTGCTAGCGAGTGCTGCCACCTTTTGTGTTAGTGCCATAAATATACGCCAGTGGCGCCACGGTGCACCTTATTACAGTTATTTTCGCTATCATGTGATCTTCAGTTCTTCAAAATTTTATTTGCACGCGTTTTTTTTAAAGTAAATTGCGAAATAATGTCCGCTCAAGAAGAACAATATACAAAATATTTAAACGAGAATGGCATATTGCCGCGATTGCTGCAAATACTGGAGCAATTAGTGAATATTGATCCGTTGCCAACGGATCCGCTAATGGAAATTCTGCACGCACTCGGCTGCCCCCTCATACCGCAGGCCCAAATGAAAGCGCTGGAGCGCAAAGTATCGCGGGCACAGGATGAGCTGCGCTATCTGCGACGCGTGCTGATCGAGCTGGGCGGGCAGGACGAGCTCTACGACAGCGACACGGACGAAAATGAGTATGTGGGCCATGTGGGAGAAATGGGCGCTGCGCCACTCTACTCGCCAGATTCCGCCGACGAGGAGGAGGCTGAGCAAGACGATCAGGATTGCTCTATGCCCAGACGAACACCGCAGCCACAGTACGTTTTGGAAGCGTCTATTGCCATTAGGGAGGAGCAGCCGCAGCACGCCGAATACGATGAGGAGCAGCCCTGCTGCAGCCACTCCATACAGGCCAATGCGCAGCAGTTTTAGAGTTCAATTTATGTATCGAGTACATATATCCGCACTATATATCATATATATATATAGCTATATACTGTATAATTGCATGCGCCCTGAGAGGAATTCACAATTTACATTTATCAATTTTTGTTCAACAGATGCATTTTACAATGTGAATCGATTAGACAACGCCAGATCGTTGCAGATTATGTAAACCTATATAAACAATTACGAAATAAGCATTAAGTCCACGCTAGAACGTGGCGTATCACATAATTCCAAAAAGTTACAAGTTTTTTACATATATTTTGTTAAGCGAATGCATTTTGAAAAAAATTATAAAAAATTAAGTTAAAAGCCAACATTTAATTGTTGCACATTATGTTAAAGTAATACTATAGCGCCGACCATGTATATATATATATATGGCAGATCCTTGAACAGTATATAAGAGAATTACTGTAGCTGTAATGATATGGAATGTTCGGTCGTAGACCTTGGGATCTAGGATTGATTCGCAACATATTAATTTCTGAAAATCCTACTTTTTCCAATCAAAATATAAAAACTAATTTTTAAACTAAAGTTAAAAGCTTATGAAAACTCTTTGGAATAAGAAATTTAGACTTAAGGCTGATAAATGTATAATGCTTATAATTGAAATGGGCACTGTCTGATCTTGTGCAGTATATATCTATATATATATATGTATGTATGTAAAACTGTGAGCCCAAACGGAGTAGAAAAGAAAGCAAACAATCTCGGCCTCAGCTGCCTCTGGAGAAGAAAGAAATGAGCCCAACTGATTCCAGCTTCAACTGGATAAAATGCGTGGAACACAATTATGTACAACTATTTTGTAGTTCGTTGGCAGCAAACTCATTTTCACAGTACATTTAAGACCCGTTTCATTGATTTCGGATACTTGACCCAGGCAAAGGCAAATTTTGTATGGTGCCCTTGGGAAATCAATAAGTCGACAACCCGCATCATGTCCACAGTTTTGGCTGTTGCATTCAAACAAAGCAGAGCAAAACATCGATTTAATTAACTCGAAACATGTCATCCGTGTCGACAGACCGTCAGCTTGGACCAACTGCAAATATCATTTACTAAACCCCTTCATATGCAAATAACGTGCGGAATGTGACCGGAATTAGCAGCTGGTAACATAATGGATGCTGTGTACCAGCCCGTCGATTAATCGGAAGATATCCCGATAAGCTCACAAGCGAGTGCTGTGCTGAAAACATATTGGATATAGTGTTAAATGGACAATACGCTGAGTTTGGAGTATTTGAATTGGGTGAGTTTGTGTTCACTTTTTAATTATTTCAATGAAATAACTAGATTTTATAAAGTGCGAACAGCTGTTTGCTTTCTTGAGTGTTGCCACATCTCATAAAAACCTTAGGTGTTACACAGCACTGACTTATGCCGCCGTTTCAATTCCATTGTTTCAATGCCGTTTTCTTTTCCCGTTTAAATATTAAAAAAAGGTATTAAAGAGAATTATAAGCTGCGCTCAATTAGTCTAAACAATTAGTATAATTAAATCCACTTGACGCCTTCCGACTATTTTAAAACAACACCAAATATTTTGTTGGGCTAACAAAACATAACTTTTTATGCAAATATTGTAAGAGCTTAACAAAATATTTGGTATATGGTAAACATAACAATGCGGCTTAGCAGACACGGAAAAAACAACAATTTATTTGCCAGAGCCACAATAAATCCATCTAATCCGTGTTGAGGGGGGAGTTGGGCGTGGCAGGCGACAGCTGTCCGTCGCTTTGATAAATAAACTGCAGCCCGCGAGTTGATACATATAAATATTAGCTATAAAAAAGCCAGAGTTTTGTGTGTGCTCTCAAATAAATAACATGTGCAGCAGGGGGCGTGGCAGTTGTTGGCAAATGTAGCGGCTGCTTTTAATTGCTGTTTTTTTTTTTTACATTTTTTCTGTATATTTTTGTTTCTCATTTTGACTTTAAATAATGGCTGCGGAAATTGCCATTTAACGGCAATTTTGTGGCTAAACAGCAAAAAAACAAAAACAAAAAAAAAAAAACAAAAGCGCCGCGCGATAATTGATTGAAACAAAATGCAGTCGCATTGGTTTACAAATTTCTCCATTTTCCCTTATTATTACTTTTTTTTATGCTGTCGAGTTTTCCTCTATTTTTCCTGTGGCGCCCTAAGCCACGCACAAGCTGCAGCCATTGCTGCATACTTCTGGGCGCTTAATCTGTGCGGCATGCCCAGGCAAAATCTGCTTTGCCTTTCTGCCCGATTGTCTGTCTGTCTGTCTGTCTGCCTGGCGTAGCGTAAAACTTTAACCACGTAAAATACGAGCCCTCTGGGCGGCAGCCGCAACACAGCGAACCAAAAAAGCTAAAATGGAAAAAAAATAGTGAAAGGAAACGCAGAAAACCCCCCAAAATGAACGAGCTGCAAACGCAGCGCAGTCGAAATGCATATAAAAACGGCTGCAATCCAATTGCCCAGCAGTGAGCGTTGCCAGACTGACACGAATTCCAGATGAGCTATGCGAATGAATTTTGCTTGCGGAGTGCAATGCAGATTTTAATGAGTTTAGCAGATATTTGTTTTGGATAGTGCTAAAACTGCGGGAATGCTTAAGTTATTTTTGAAAATTTTTAGAAGTTGAAAGGTGGAAAAGGTGCTTCTGAACTAAATCTAAATTAAATCTTCAAAATGAAGCTGGAGTTGTGCTGAAAATCGAAAACTATGTGAATTCATATTCTTAAATGCGCTTTTCATAGATTCAAGTAACTCCTACTTTCCATCGCTTTCTCTCTCTCTCTCTCTCTCTCTCTGAGACTTACAATTCGCCTTCCTATGCGATTCTCACGATTTCAAGGTTTAAGACTTCGAATGTTGCTTTATTTTGCAAATGCCAGAATAGAAAATTTGTGTAATAAATTATCATAAATATACATTTCATCTAATGGCTATTGTATATTTTAATTTTATTTTGTTTGATTTGGTTAGAATATATAGATAGCATTTGCATATTTTTATACTGATTTATAGTCGAGATGCAGCTCGATATTCCGTGCAGCGCCTGGCGCCACGACTTGTTCCGCCCCCTGTTCCCCGCCGGGTATCAACCGGAAATGGCAAAGCAAATGCAACAAAAAAGTAACCAAAAGGGCAAAAAAAAAAAAACAGAAAATATAAGGAAAAAGAAAATGAATGAAAACAGAGCTGAACAGAGCAGAGCTCACTGTCGGAGCCCTGCAGGCCGGCGGCGCTTCAATTTCATGTCGAGTAAATTTTAATTTACAGCTCTTTTGTGACCGCAGGTTTTGCCAACATGCGAGCCAAAAACTTGTATTTTTTCGTCGTCGTTGTTGTTGCTGCTGCTGGTTAAATTTTTTTTTTACTTCTCGTTGCTCGCATTTGATATATACATACATGACTTTTCGGCTATTTGGGCAGTTTGGCTTGTTGGTCCAATGATATATCCGTGGGCAGGCCATTTGCTGCAGGGCACACGCCCCAGCACAATTTACCGTTAGTTTTAATGGCCGCAAGGGGCGGGAGCGGGGGCAGAAGCAGCACAAAAGGCGCCGCTGGGCTAATTGCCGCTGCTGCCAAACTCTAAACTATGCTTCATTAGCGCCCGCTGAAAACTCTATTAGCCAAATGAGGCGGCGTCAAAAAAAAAAAAAGGGCGGCGCAAAAGTTGTTCGGAAAAACGCGTCGGAAAAACGTGCGGCGCCTAAATAATGTACAGCAATTTATGGCCGAACACAAAATAAAAACAATTAAATTGCAATTAAAATGCATAATATACACAATAACAGTGGGATTAGGGGGCGTGGTCGAGAACTTTGCGCAGCTGCGCACAATAAAATCAATATATTTTTATTTATTATTTTACTTTTGTCAGCTGAAGCAAATTGCATCACAATTTGAGCTAAAATATATCAATGTCTAACACACACATGCATGCCGAGAAAAAAAAAAACAGAACTAAGCGCATTTTATCATCTATTGTCATTTCTCATGTTGCTACAACAGCAACAACAACAAAAGCGGGGAAAAAGGGTTAACAATTTTTATGTGTCAACAAGAATAATTTGTGTCACGCAAAACGAAACGAAAAACTTGGCTAAGAGATGACAAAACAAAAAAAGTGGCAAAGTGTCGTAAAGAAAAGCAGGCAGCATATTAATAATGAAAACAGGGCAACGCCGACGACGACGGCAAACACACACACACACACACACACACAGACACAGATACACACAACATGAATACAAAGCAAACACACACGTCCAAGACAACAGCAAGGCAACAAAAATGTGTAGAGGAATCAACAAGCAGCTAGAAATTAATACCAGCACACACAAACACACACACACACACACACACTCACGCTCACACACTCTCACTTGGAGTCAGCCTTTATAGGATGCCACGCCTCCATAAAAAACGCCCGCCAGCTACGTGCACTGCCGTCAGCCATGCTGTGTGTGTCTGTGGGCATGGTTGTGTGTGTGTGTGTGTGTGTGTGTGCTACGTGCACGTGTCATAATCCTTTTACCACATGCCACATTTTTCTCTTTTGTGCAACTTTTTGAAACTGGGAATCGCGCTCTAGGCACGAATTTCACAATTTTCACACTTCTCACACAATTGCGAAGTTTTCGTGGATAAATATCTTTGCAGAAAGAATCTTTATTTTCTTATAAAGTATTGTTTATTTACTATTTATTATTAATTTGAAAGAATTTCATTTACGTCCAAGTAAGCAAAAAGTGAAGCAAAAGCCATTTAACTTAATTATAAAAATTTATTTGAACCCTTAAGTAATTGAGTAAAAATCCAATATTTAAATTACTTTAATTATTGTGTGAAATTAAAGTTTTCGGTTCAAGTTTGTCTTCAGGTTGTTTTTTGGGGAGCGAAAGTAATTTTTGCAGCTTGAACTTATAAAAATTGAAATTTACTAAACTCAATTGAATTGATTTAAATATTTATAGTAAATATTATAATAAATTAACAATATAGAACATTACCTTAAAAACGTTTAGTATTTCTCCAAGAGTTCCTTTAGCGATTGGTTAAAATATTGAATACACTTGAGCTTTAGTTACTGAGTCACAACTGTTTCTATTGGCAAGTGTCCTTCACTTAAAGCCGGCCAATGTCACGGCTAATCCATTTAAAGCTGACCTTTAACTTTATCAGGGCCCGGGAACAACTCAAATATGCCCATTACCAGTTGCCCAGCAACAGCTGCCATTGTGATTGTCCGGTGTTTCTCATTAATCCAAATGAATAGGGCTTAGAAGCTATTTAGACCTTGTGCGGCTTCTGATTGCGTGGGCTGCTATAGAAGCGGCAGTAGCAAATAGTAATTAGCACTGCGTATTCTTGGTTAGAACTATGAAAGCAGCTTCCGAGTGCTTAACTAAATAACATAACTAGTTGTAAATGCGGTAATTTTTCTTGAATATTACGCAAAGTATACCATATATAATTACCTCTTTTTGGAGGGTAGATAGTAGAGGTATAGAAGAAGATACAGATGTAGATACAGGTAACGATACAGATACAGAAATTAA